ACATTGACAAGTTTGCGGTAACAGGGCGGTCTTTTCAATGTCCCATCTGCAAAGTTAACACAATGCTTGGCACACGGACAAGATTGGAACATGATTTCTTTGTCAAACAGGTCACTTGTTTGTGTGCGTTCCCCCTTTTGCATGACAGTTTGATGAACCTCCCTTCAATAACAGCACATATCTCGTTTTCACCATGGGTGAACTGGTTAACCCTTCAGCTGGACCCGCTCTTCACGTCACGTCACACCGCCAGGTGCAACTCACCGTGGCCAAGGCCGCGAAGTTGCTGGGCTTCGACAACCAGGAGGCGACCCGGCGGTTCCCCCCAGTCGAGTTGTTGCGCGCTGGTCGGTCGCGAACGGAGCGGGGGCGCGGTTTGGGAGCGGACGGTTGGGGGCACTGGACTGACCTGTTGGGCGGCGATTTTGGGGGGGTTCCGAGTCCGTGGCATGCTAGGTTCTGGTTCTCCCATGACATGTTCAGAAAGTGGAAGGAGAGGTGCTTTGGATTAATTAGATGATGCCCAGGAGCCTTTGTCTCGATTTGTTGTTCGTTCCTATGCCCAGCTAGCTGGGGCACTGTGCTAGCTTTCTTTGTCCTAAACACCCGAGCAAAAGACACAGGTGCTGATTTGTGCCTCATGCACTCCATGGCGTTCTGCAGGAGTTGCGGAAATATACCTCGCCCTTACTGAAGCAATTCGGAGCTCGGGTGCCTGGAGCAAACCGCGAAGCTGTCAGCGAAGGATGTGGGGACAGGATAGGGATGCAGTGATGTGATAGAGAGACCCTAAAGGAAGCCTAGTCCGCAATCTGCTAGTATAATATGGAGACCTGGAGAACGCCTGGCCCATTGAATAGATTGGTCTATGTTCTTTCTATGTTGAAGCTGGTTGTGTGGATCCGGTGAGATTTCGTCCAATCTTCTTTTCTGGGTGAAGCCACTGCCTATATATAGGAAGCTTGGTCTAACATGGTTTAACCATCTTGAACGCCGGCCTCGGTTCCTGGCCGAGCCTGCGAGCCTGGCTGCCTCCGAGGCCGAGCCCCTCGTCACGGGCGGCTTGGTGGGCGCGCAGCTCTTCAATCGCTTGGCGCGGGAAACGGGACGACGGTGAGCGGAGGGGTGGGACGTATATGAACTCCCTGGAACTCACGAAGTGGAGAATGGCCCATGGCCTCGAGTTCGGAAGACCATGAAATCCACTTACGAACAGGTGGTGAACTCCACTTCCATGTTAGCTCCAGGGTGAGTAGAGATCAGGCTCAATCCGTCAGCAGTTCTGTCAGGGTGTCCTGGTGGGACAGCTAGAGACGAGACCCTGCAAGAGAGAGAGAGAGAGATCATAGGGCCACATCGTTGGACAGCTGAGTTGCAGCCAGACTGCCTGCACACAGGGTGCGACCAAGGGGACCAGCTCTTTGCGTTGTTCTCAGGGTAGCGAGACTTTGCGAGGGATGTGGGCTTGACCTAGATTTCTGTCGAGGGGCGGTGTTGCATACTATAGGACAGAGTCTTCCTTCACACATGTTCGCACGGCCAGTATTCATTTGACTCTCTTGGCTGAATCACCAGCGTTTCAACGTGCAAACGAGTTCGAAGGGACCACCAACATCGACCCACGCTGGATGTGGGTTTCGTCGATCGCGCGGAAAGAAAGGGGTTGGAGGATGGATGTGTCACCCAGTCATTTTCCTGGTTCTGCAACTCCAAGTTTTCTGATGGAAATGAGGACCTTCTGATGGGACCTTGCTTGGGAGGGTGGTCAGTCAGACTAGGCTGACCCCTGACAAACCGACCGTCCCTCTCATTCCTTGCCGTTCGCACCAGTGAGACAAGGCCCCCCAAATTTCCTGAAGACGGACTTGCAACGACTGAAGGCAACACAACTTCTTCGGCTTGCGATGACTGAAGCCACTTCAGCACCACAAGAAGGAAACACCAAGCCATGAACTAATAGAACTGCCACTTCAGGATTCCAGCACACCCAAACCAAAAGCAATTGCCCATTCCTAAGTAGGGATTCACATACCTTCTCAGAAAGCTACTTGGACCATGGGCCAACCAAGCGTGGGTCCATAGGTAAATAGCCCTGTTCCACCCCATGGTTTCGGCTTCAGCTGGCCGATGCTGAAAGCCGACTCAGCCAGCCTCATATACAAAGGATTAATCCAGCCAAGTCCACATCAACACAGAACCTTAAGAGGGGTGAGACTCCATTTGTCGGGGTGCTGCATTTGCACATTGTTCATGATTCTGCCACCCTGATCCTCCAGGTGTTTACCATGTGATTTTAACAATTTTAAAGGATATAATGAAAGTACGGTATAACTTCTTGGCACCAAGTAGAGATGGTTCACGACCGCTGCGTTGCTAAGAGGTGGTGCTTTGCGCGGCGAAGACGCCAGCAGCACGGAAGCTTCTGGAGGAGTTGCTCCTTTGCTGCAGCACGGGAGGGGTGTGGAACATGTTAACATCCTGAAACAACCATGGAAGTGGACAAAGCATGACAAAGTCCTGTTTGTGTTTTTTTGTAGTGGCTAATGATCTTTCAAGGGGCCATGTTCCACTTCCATTACTGTTTCAGGGAGACACTGTTAACACTTCGCAGTTCCAGATACTCTCTTTGCCCAAACAGCATGTTGTTTTCAGATGGGAAGATGTTCCATTGACCCTTCGGAGTGCGGGTTCGTGCATCGTTTCAGTGCATCTTCGGGAAGGAATGAATTCGATCAACGATCAGATCAACCAGGCAACATGAAGAATTGGCAGGTACTGCAACCAACCAGCTATTCATGAAGCTATCGATGAAGCTATTCAGGTGTTTGGGCCCGAGAGATCTTGCCCCTTCGGATCACTGCATGCAGACGAGCAGTTAGATGAGACCGTAAGCACGTGGACGCACACGTTTTACATTAGAAATGTGAAAAACGGGTTACAGTAGGTTGTGTTTTTCCAGCTTGAACTCTTGCTCTTTGCTTTTTTGAAGCAATGACATGACGAGATGTTCATTCACTGGCAAGACTTCGTGTCAGCCGTTTTGTTCGTGTACGCCATCGGCTTGAACCCGGTCCACGTGGCACTCGATTCACTATAGATGGTTTGGGGAAGGCGACCACGTCGTCGCCTCGTCTCACAATCGTCTCCTCTCACTCGTCGTGTGTCCAAGCATAGCTTAGGGGGACGGAAGGAAGCCACGGTCTGATGGTGTTACGCGTTCGCCACCGCAGCTAGGCGGCTAGGTTGTTCAGGCAAGCCAGAGGCCCTTTTGGACACAGCAGGTGTGATTGATGGGATTATTGCTACACGGACGGATGGCATGCGCTTGCATTTCCATTGTGAGATCATCAAGAGGGGCATGCGGCATGAACATTGCTGCGTGAACATGTTGCCCTGGCTTTCATCCCCTTCCTTGTCAGGTCACGTTCCTGTGAAGAGAAACTGCCCGGTCCATGTTTTACAATCCATGTCATGAAGAAGTTGTTTTGTTCATCAATCAATCAGTTTGCACTACCAGAAGTCACGTTCGACGGGGTGGTTCTTCAGTCCAGTGATGTGGATCACTCCATGGCACTCCGAAGCTCCAAAGCTCGAGCACCCCGATCAGGTCCACAGCCTGGAGGAGCCGACCGATGTGCCGAACGACGACCGATGCGCCGTCCGGCTGCGCCGGCGCACTCGGGGATCGTTTTCATTGTAGACGATTCATTCATGAACACCTCCCAGACATGGGACCGTAAAGACCTCTTCATATCTGGAGGGTTTGAGTGATCAACGACTCTATATGATACTATATGCAGTACACATATTTAGATCGATTGAACGGGTTGTTCGAATATGATGAAATGGATGACACGTCATCCCACAACTTCAACCAGGGTGAAGCTCCACCAACTTTACACCCCGAGAACGTGCGAGCTTCCGGGCTTCCGTACATGTGCTTGGTTGGAACTCCGGGAGTGCCCTGTTTCACCACACCAAATCATGCACAACACCTACGCCGGCATTCTTACATGCTGAAGAGAAGAATCAGAATGGAGTGGGATCAAATCCTTTGACATGAGGGCCCCGATGTCAAACTCCCCACCGACCCGCTAAAAAAAAACAAAAAAACGATCACGGCACTGATCGGTGGGTTCGACCAAAAAAACACGCGGGGGCGGCATGAAAAACTTGAGAAGTGGCCACTGGCCCTAGGGATCCAGTCGTACCTTCTCAGCAGGTGAGGTGTTCGACACTGTGATGTAGGTGCCAAAACGTCGGGTCCAGTCGTACCCTGGATCCCTAGCGACTGGAGGTGTTCAGTGGAAGTTTCTTCACCGTCCTAGTCGAAGCCTCGGGTCTCGGCGACCGACCGACCGGGGAGGAGCCCGGGTGGCCGAAGCAAGACCAAAGAGCTCCCGGCAGAGCCAGTGCAGGTCCACCACTGTGCAGGGCTGGCTTTCACGGATGGATTTTTCGTTCATAGGATGGATATGGTAGGATGGGATGGCAATTTTGGTAGGTGATTGATGTTTTCATTTTTGTTTGGGGCAACTGTCTCAATTGCCCTGAGAGTTTTTTTGTTGCTCGGCACTTCAGCTGATGAAACCGAGCACGGATGAAACGACATCCGTGGCAGGGACGACTGTAGTCTTGGAAGGTCTCATGAGACTTGGATTAGGCCAACCAGTCTCCAGTCTCGGTGTTTTCATTACTGGGACTTTAACTGGGGATTCAGTCGCTTGGACCCACGTACTTGACTGGTTTCATGAGCTTGGATGACACTGCCATGGTGTGAAAAAAAACGATATCTGGGGATTGAACCCACTGGCAAAATAATGATGTTCGTCCATTGGTTGAAACCACCAACCAGGTCCAAGAGTTATCATGCTAAAATAACCATGTCAACGTATCCGGAGTTCCCCAAGCAGCTCAGCACCTGCCCAATCCACCCGCAGCCAATTCGCCTCCAACTGCCCCGGATATACGAGAGATTCGCGCATTCGCGAGCAACGACCATGGGGCTTCTCAGCATTTTGAAGAAGATGAAGAAGGAGCGATGCCCGAACAAACCTAGGTGCCTGTATTTCAAGTGGCCACATATACTTGTAGTGTTTGCACTTTCCCAATCAGTGGCTCCAGTTGCGATGGATTTGGTTTTGGTGGTGTCAACCTGTTGTACATGGACCTTCACTCTTTGATCTGGAACCATTGTTGAGGAGTTTTCTGGCTTCTGGGGAAAATATCCTCTTGAGTGGCTACATGAATGTGATCTTCCGCAAGCGGTTGTCCGCCCAAAGACTGGCAGACAACAATGAACTGGAAACATAACAGTGTAGAAAACAAAATGGGAGTTGATGATTCTTGGGATGGTTCAACCGCTCTTTGATAGGATAATTCTGGGATGCCAGTGGTTCCAGATCTAGTTCATCAACATCGCATTTCATGTCGCACCCGGCGGCGCCCGTTCCTCAGGAGGAGCGTGAGGCCCGCATCCTCGTCCTGGGCTTGGACAACGCCGGCAAGACCACCATCCTAAAGAAACTCTCTGAAGAGGAGAGCTTTGGGCCATGGGTGATTTCTGGCACCCGAGGTGGACTACTAGAGATTCTTTCACCAGATACACCAGTCACCAGGTGTTTTTCACCGTTGCTGCATGCCTTATATAAATCAATCAATGTTTGTCACTTTGTTTTGCAGTGTGTGGGCACAGTTTGCTTTGGAAATTGCGTAGGTTTGGGCTCACTGATGCCCTGTTTTCAGCGTCAGTTGGATGGTTTTTAAAGCTGTCCTTGAACTCTTTCCAACACCTTCCCAACCCTGCCAGGGGGTCAGGGCGGGAGTGAAGATTTGTTGTCATGCAACTTTCTAGTTTGTGTCCCGAACCACAGGTGTGACCGGGGCGCCATTTTGGTTGCATCGCGAACCAACATACGTCGTCTGGAACGCAGGATATCACCCATATCATGCCGACGCAGGGCTTCAACATTAAGAGCATCTTGACAGGTATGGCTTTGACTTCGGAAGACGGTGGTGGCGGTGCTGACGATTCGTGCGGTGGTGGCGGTGGAGCTCCTGAAAGGGTGTTTGGGGTCCCTTACCCCGCTGAAGACTACCATGGACCCTGAAAACCACTGGATGGTAGAGGAAAATATTCTTTCAGGGTGCCATTCGACCCGGGTCCATGTGAGTTTCCGCGAGTGTAATGAAGATAATGTCTGAGGAACATGCATCCTAATTAGATGGGAGTGGACCCTTCGACTCCCACAACTGTGGAACGGAAGAATACCTTGGACGGTGTGAGACGTTCATGTTTCAGATGTAAGGCATTTGTGCCGATGTGCAGGTTCTGATCTTGGGCAGACTGGCTCAGTATACCCTAAGGGTAAGAGCCACCAACATGATCCAATCAAGTCTATAAGTCAAAACAGGTCATTTGGACTCAGACTCTCATTGACGTTGACTCGACTCGTGAGTCGAGTTTCGAGTCTGGATGCACGGATGTCAGCGGGGACCTGGAGACGCCAATGGGACTGGAAGAGGCGAGGTGATCGTTTGGGTGTCCACCTGCTCCGGCTCGGCTCTCAGCTCGAGCCACCGAGATCCACCGAGCCACCGGTCCAGGTGAAGGCGGGTCACCCTTGGTTTTGCGGATCCGATGTGGTGCATTTTTCCGGGTCAATATCCCCGATCGGGGGAAGACTTGTGATTTTGTCCAGGTTCCTGGACAGCATATCCAAGTGACTCTTCCCACTACACCCTGGAAGACGATCCCATGGACCCTGAAAACCACGTCGGTTGGTAGAGGAACACATTCTTTCAGGGGTGCCATTCGACGTGGGTCTATGTGAGTTGACTCGGGAGTGTATTCCAGTCCCATGGATTGACCAACCGCCATCCGGCCGCTTCTTCGCTCTCTCCAAGGCCTCGTGCAGGATGGCTTCAAGTTGCCACTGGGACCTGATCCGAAGGGCCGAAGGGGTGATGTTCTTTTGGGTTGACTCGCCGGGGGGGAAGTCATCATCACTAAGTGTTCTTTGTTGGCGAGTGGTGTAGGCATGGCGTGAGTGTGCTTTTTGCCATTGACTGGAACCGGACCAATGGAATCAGATAGTGGAAACAGATAGTTGACCCTTTCAGTGTGAATGATTGGCTCCAATTAGATGTGACTTATACCGTATACCTCAACAATCTTAAAGCATCATGGCTTTGGGTTCACACCACGAGACCAACGGTCACAACCAATAGGTATATATGGAGCTCAAGGTATTTATAGTCTACTATACTCTGAATGCTACAGATCCCCACTCTCCCAACACTCTCACCTTCATCTCACCTTCATCTCGCTCCGTCCGCTCGCCTCGGAAGCTCGGACTGAAGCCAGGAACGTCTGGGACATCGGGGGACAGAAGGCGATCCGGCCCTACTGGAGCAACTACTTCGAAAACACGGCGCGCGATTCCGCGAGTCGCGACGCGGTCACACGACGCGAGTCGCGGAGCCGAGAAGGTCACGGCACGGTGGAAGAGACGGTAAGACAGGGGTGGGTTTTGGATGGTGGGACGGAGTGGGGTGGTTTGGGACCCCCAGTTGGTGGGGGGAAGGAAGATAAGGAAGGAGGTTTTGTGTTGGATGGGATTGAAACGGATCTGGCCTGGAGTTTGGCAGCTTTGAACCTCATCATGAGTCCTGTTAACAGATGCACCCGCTCAACTTCTTCCGCCCCCCCCCCAAAAAAAAAAAAAAAACCATCTCCAGTCGACTCTGCCGCATCCCGCTAGACCGCGCCGCTCGACCGCTCGACCGCGCCTGGCGCCGCAGGATGCGTTGGTCTACGTCATCGACAGTTCGGACCGACGACGTTTGGAGGAAAGTGGCCATGAACTTTCGGAGCTGCTGAACGAGGACAAGTTGGGTGGGACGCCCGAGCTGCGAAGGGTGCGCGAGCGAACGCGGTAACGCGGTGACCCAGCGCCGCGAGCGGTTCGGCGATTTGGTGTGGCGACGAGGATGAGGTTTGGAGGGTTTTGGAGGTGTGGTGAGCTGATAGAAGAGGGAAGGCTGGGGTTAAGACCGAACAAGTCCGTACCCAAATCCAATGATTGGGGTGCTGTATAGCATCAATGGGTGCAGCAATAATTATATCAATGAGTGAGACTTCCCA